CTTGCGAAAATGATGCGAATTTTGTGTTCAGATCAGTCAGAGGCGATCCGAGTACTGGAAGCGAAATTTGATGAACTTGCTCCTCTACTAAGTGTATCGGCCCGTCTGGCAAGTAACCAGAGGATGGAGCTGTTGAGACTCAAGGTCAAACAGCTAAACAAGGTTGGTGAACGACTTTTACCCTGGTAGCCGATACCTAGCGAATACTGTTTGCCAGTATCGACTGGTAGCCGATACTGGTAAACAGCGTTCAATGTTTCTTGATGCAATGTTTTCAATGTTTTCGTCCACGAGGATGGCGACACTTTGACTGATCGGCATCAGGAGTTTCATTTACAGTTGTAGGGGTGATGACTTGAACTCAATGAGTCGCAACGCTTTCTTGAGTTCCTTCTGCGTTGTTTTGAGGAAGCTCATATTGGTTCTTTCAAGGATACAAATAACGAGCAAGCACTAAAAATAAATATGTATATTTTTTATCCCAAATACTGCTCACCTGTGCCTTTTGGCGCCGTGTAACACTTTGCAAGCACCCCGCATCAAATTCGGAGGCTGATATCTTCTGTCGGGCTCTCGTCGAGGTTGTTAAGTAGACTTTTTGGCTTGCCTTGGGGGGGGGGGTTGGGGGTTCTCCTTCTATTCCCTTTGAAGTGGTTGACGATCGAAGTAGCATGGGTAGTACTGTAACCTAGTAGGTATACTACTTAACATTAATAACCGTTCAACTGCAGCAAATCCCCTGCATGTTTTCATTCATTTGATGTTTTCGTTCGTTTGATGACTGTTGCAACGTTCAATTTGTCGAGATCTTGATGCATTCACGTCTCATAGTTCGGAGAACGCGTCAGTCGTTGACAACTGTTGCGTTGCGTTCGAAAAACATGGAGTTCATGATGGAGGCAACATCCTTGTTGTCATGTTACAGCTAGACTTTAAATTTTCAATCACCACGCAGTTTGCTAAAGCACGGATGAAATCGTTGAAGTGGTTTTGAATGGTTTCTGCACAGGGTTTAATTGTAGGGCACGCGAAATAGGGCAGAAGAATTGTTTGATGATCCCACGAGGAATTGTAAAAGACGAGTTCTGTCTGGCACAAATTTATGTTTGTTCTTAAGGCATTGTTTTTAGTTTGGTGCCACCACGCGGTTAGTAGTCGAACTTGTTCCATCAACTTCTCAAATAATTAGAAAGGTGACAAACGTTAACGAGGCCTCGGAAAGCATTCTGGAAATCGAGGTTTGCAACATTGAATGTTAATGATATGAAGGAGCCTGATGAAAACATCAGTGTTTGCACGTTACAGTGCAACAAAACGTGGGATAGAAGCAGTCAGCGCACACTGCGCCTATCACGCGTTTGTTTGTACTGCGATGTAATGAGCACATTTCACGCACATCAAATTTATCTTGGCTGATTCACGGCGTGAAATGTGCAGAAAAACACAGTCGTAGCCTTGGAACTTCTTCACCCACGAAAATAGAATGACCGTAATTTTCAGAAAAATCTCAATCAAAGGACGTCTCGCGGGGTTGAGAACGAGCTACAGGAGACATGTGAAAAAATGGAACTAAAACGTCAGCTGAACGCTTTACGAAAAGTCAAGCCTCAAATGAACGCTATTGAACATTATCTGGCGCAACTGCAAGAGTGGCTTGCGTCGAAGGATGCTTATGTGAGGAGTGTTCCGCTACGCAATTTTTGCTAGTGAAATCTAGATGGGTTTAAAAATCGTTTAGGATCGCGCAAAAGCTTTGGA